AATTTTTATGAAATTTAGAATATATATTTATCAAATCTAGAGCAATCTGCTTGCATAATTTAAAGGTTTAATATTGTAAATTAATAGTGATAATATTTAAAATATCTTATTTTAAAAAAAAATTTTATTTTAGTTTTTTTTAGTAAGTAATGCTTCATTTATTATTGAATTAAAGTATAATAGAATAGTTAAAATAATATAAAAAGTTAATTTAGATCATTTTCTATTTAATATAAAAAAATTATAAAGATTAATTAAAATTTGAATAATTTTTATTAAAAGTAATTATTTAATTTTATATTAATATACAAATCTTTTTACACTAATCTATAATATTATATATAATATATTAATATTATTATAAAAGATAGTAAAATTATAAAATATATAGAATTACTTATATATAAAAAATTTATAATTATAATAATTCTACTAAATATAATAAGATATTATATTTTTTAAAGATAAATTACAAATATAATTATTTAAAAAAGATTTTAAAAGAAAAGTTTTAATAATTTGGCTAAAAATTAGCTAATATCTTAAAAAAATATGTACTAATAAATATAAAGTATTATATTTTTAGATTAATATAAGATTAATTTCTAAATTAAGTCAAAAATATTATTTAAGTATTTATATAATTAAAATTATTAATAAATTTTTATTTAAATTATTTAAAAATCAATTCTAATTATACATATAATATAATTTTTTTAAAGTATTTTATTTCAAATAAATATTATTTTAATTTTTAAATATCTTATTGAAATTAAAATATATAATTTGTTAAAAAAATAAATAAGTTATTTAAAGATAATTTTATGAGAAATATTACAAAAAGTCAGGTAGTAAATTCAAAAAAATTCTTTTATATAAACAAGAAGTTTGATAATAAAATTAGATAAAATAACTATTTTAAGATATTTATAAGATTATAACTATAAAAATAATATATCAAAAGCTATGTCAATACTTATCTTACAACATAAATAAAATTGATTTATTTTGTTTTAGAATAATAAATATCAAATTTTATATAGATATTTTAAAAAATAATATTATGAATATCAATACTCTTCTAGAAGATTTTAACAAAATAATAATTCGAAATATATGAGTTAACTTGTAAAGTTTTATCTTGAATTGAATATTCTCAAAATTATTAATTAATTATCTTGTAATTCAGACTTAAATCTGATTAAAAATCTATATAATCAAAAAAATATAGAAAAAAGAAAATCAAAAATTTGAATTAATTAATGAAACAAAGATATATATTAATAATAGAGAGTAAAGACAATACTATTGATTATTAAATTTTTTTTAATAAAATACATTTTTTTATCTTTTAAATAAATATATTTTTATTATAATTGGTTTCGTGATTGTGAATTTTATTTTTCCAAATCATAATGTACTCGGATGGCATTCCATGTGTCAAATAATGAGCGTGACAAATAGGATTTTTAATATGTGATGTGACGGATGACGTGATACCGAATAAAATTCTGCTATTGATTATTCCCGGTAATAAGTAATTTTACACTGAGAATTTTCCGAAAAAGATATCCGAACGGGCATATTAAAGGCACGTGATATGCGATAAATTTAATGAAAATCATATGATAAAATCACATGAAATCTACTTCGCTTTGACTTATTAGATTCCAACGTTTTGTGATGACATATATACAAGTTACAATCAATTATTTCTTTCATTGTTGTAATAAAACAAATTTAGCTAAATACCTGTTATTGATAATACGTATATTGTATTTTGCTTCTTCCAAATCTCTTTCCCATGTTATTAACATCATAGTCATCGTCGAAAGTTTTTGAAAATATCTCATAAAACACACAAGAATCACTAATTATGTGGGATTCCCAATTGTGAATTTTTTAATATTCAAGACTCTGAATAATCATATTGGTGACGTTGGTGAATGGGAAATATACAATTTACTCGTTATTGGAAAATATATGAAAATTATAATAAATATGTATTACGTTATGTTATCCATTGTTAATATTTTGTTTATAATTTCCAAGAACGTTTGTCTTGTTCTAAGCTAACAACTCTCTTTCGGGGTGCCTCTTTCCATTTACTCCGTCGATTTTAATTTGTGTATGCAAAGGATTCTACGATTGACAATATTTCTAAAATGCTCAAATCCACTTTCTGTTCACGCACAATGTGACTCATCATCAATTTAACTTTTTAACCATGATTGGACAATCAAATACCCATAACCATAAATTCGAGAACCCCGCGCAACCTTGTCGCCGATGAACTCTATCTATATACACACACACACGCACACGCACACATAAATATATATTTCCAAAAAAGACTACTCGAAAAAAATGCCGAGAAACCAGGACTCTATACTAAACCCTCGCAGGTCCTTGAGACTTCAACGTAAAAGAGCGCGAAAGAACGGTTTTTCATTCTCGAGTGCAGAAATAATTGTCATTGATTCTGATTCAGAGGTGTCGGACACACTAGCCCTTTCGAGAAGGTTCTCTGAAAGGTATTTATTATGATTTACTTTATAGGACACTTTAGGAAATTTTATAAATTTGGTTTATTAGCATTTGACGGCAAAAGACGATATATTGTACGTATATCTTCCTAAAAGTTACTTTTATGCATAACCGTAAGCTTCGTAGGAATTTCGCAGCAGGAATTGTTACAGCAAAACCTACCTTTATCATTACCACCACTACCATCACTTTCATTACCATTACGCCAGGAAGTTCAAGTCACTATATCTCTGCCGGAAAATTTCTTGAATAATAATAATAATAGCAATAACACTACTACAACCAATAATAACAATAACAATAACAACAACAATAACAATAATAACAACAATAACAATAATATTAATAACATTAATAATACAATAATGCAATCAATCACGGAAAAAGAAAATAATGAAAATATGGATATTGATATGATTGATGTGCTACCGCCGTCTTCTTTGCCAAGCGAGCCTAAGAAACCCTCGACTCTGAATCTTCGAGTTACAATTCCAGATATATCAACAATGGAAGCAGTCACATTGGACAGTGAGCCAACGCCAACAAGTGCGGATTGGCAAAGTGATTTATATGCTGAAACAATTTCTTCTGATAGTGATATTGCGGCATACGAGAGTATGTGTTATTATCTCAACCAGCAGCAGCAGCAACAGCAACAGCAGCAAAATCCACAGCTTCCCTCGTCACTTCTATTTCAGATTCAAAGTTCACTACAACAGCCAAAAAATCACCGAATTGGGCCTGCGCTAATCAATTATGCGGTGACTCAGCAGCAAGGATGGGAAACTCTTGGTCTTCGCAGCAAGCGAGGAGCCAGGTCCACGCATCCAGAGATTGAAGATGCATTTAATGTACCTCGCTCTATCAATGAACAAGTTCACATACCCACACAAACGCAATACAATATCTTTGTATTGGCGGATGGACATGGTGGTGCAAAGGCAGCAAGACATTTTTGTGAGGTAATACCTGATAACGTACGCGAAGTGTTAAACTCCGAGAAAATATGGAATTTTCGAGAGCTTAAAGATCAACAATTGTTTCGAACTAAGATGCGTGAGATGATGAAAGCACTTGATCATGAATTTTTATCGTTGCAGAAACAAAAATTTGCAGAATGGGTTGCAATAGGAAGACCAGATCCAATCTTGGCGGATGAAGGGTCGACTTTGATTGTGGTGGTTTTATTTGATGGGGTTGCCATTATTTCGAACATTGGAGATTCAAAAACTATATTATGCAAAACACTACAATCACAGATTGGTAATAATTCAAAAATAAGGCTTGATTTAATTTATCAATCGACGGATCAATCTCCCGGACATCCACAAAAAGCTTATCATATATACAAAAATGGAGGCGTATTTCGTCGGGAGGAGAATGAAAAGATCATAAAAGCTAAAGTAAATCCTCCTACAATGGATTCATCTGCTGCTCTGACATCTCCAACATCATTCGGACATGGAAAGATGTATCTAAGTTTACAAAGGGCCAGAGTTTCTCGTCCACCTGGATATAAGAATCCTTATGGACTTCCCGAAGACCAATCCGTAAACATTGGTGACACAATGGGAGACTTGTACTTTAAACTTGATCCTCCGTTATTTCCATGTGAACCTGATGTTGAATTTGTAATATTAGAATCCGGTACTGAATATTTAGGAATAATGGCACCGGATGGATTATGGGATCATTTGATAGTGAAGTTGCCGGATTTTTTGCGTAAAATAGCAAAATTTCTTAATGAGATGAGATATCGAGAGATTGATTATGAACTTGATAGTTCACCATATACCGACTCGAGCAATTCATATTCATCCACTGCATCATCGTCGTCCTCCTCAGATTCAGAAAGTGATGGCGATAATAATCAAGTTAACAAATGTGTCACTAGCCCACATGCAAAAAAGATTCATCGTCCTGTTGTTCCCACTTCCATGTTGACAGGAAGTTTGGCAACAACTCAAGAAGTACTACGAGAACTTGCTATCTCTCTGTGCGATCGTCTAGAGGACCCCATGCAAATATTTGCAAAAGATCAAGGACGTTATGATGACTGTACTGTTATCGCCTTCTCTCTGAAGTTTGAAGAATCTCAATAATAACTTTTATCTTCGTTATTCATTCATTATCGTTACGATGATGATGATGATGACGATGCTAATCTTGGTGAAGTTCGATGTTGGCTTGATAATAATTATGAAAATTCTAATCTTAAAATGATTGTCCTAAATTAATACAATATTACTACCACTTGATGGGTTGCTAAATTATTGATTGGGTGTGTGCACTATATTAGGAGACAAACAAGATTAAGAAAAAAATTCAAATTTTATGTAAATAAACAAACCAATTTTTCTGTATATATACGGGTTATACACAATCAAATAGTTTAATGATTCATAGTGAATTAGTAAATGAATTCTTTCAACTTAAAACTTTATTATCCCTAACGTTACGTCGAATTCTTTCGGCCAATCGACGATTTTTCTTTGTGACAAAGCAAGTGACCTTGCCTGCTTTTCCCGCTCTTCCGGTACGCCCAATACGATGTAAATAATCGATAACAGTAGTCGGAAAATCATATAAAATCACATGTTTAACAAAAGTGGTATCGACACCTCTCGATGCGATATCAGTACAAACAAGAATTTTCGCTTGTGGATCCAACTTGCAAAACATTTCCAATTTTTTCTCACGATCTTTCACGTCACTGTACAAAGCAATCATTGGTAAATTCTTTGAGGAGAGAAAACTTTCCAGCATCATCGCAGATCTTCGCGTGTTACAAAAGACCATTGTTCGATCGTGGTGATTAATTTTTAAAATTTCCAATATTGCCTCGTGTTTGTTATTATGATATTCGGCGAGATCCAGGAAAATTTGGCGAACGTGAGGTAATGATTTGTGCAGGGAAGGTGTGGTGATTCTTTTCAGTCGTGGAAATTCTTCTGATAATGATTGATTCACGGTTTTTGGTAGTGTCGCGCACACAATAATCACCTGGTATATACGATTTTGATTGTATGCGGAATTTTTTATGTTTCTTATTACGTCCTTTACCTCATCGCCAAATCCCGCGTCAAACATTGTATCGGCTTCATCAATAACGAGATATCGAGTATCGGCAAATGATAGAGTATTGGATCCGGTGTACTCGAGAATACCTGCCGGTGTAGAAATTACTATATCGATGGGCATATCCAATTCGCGAGTGACCATTTTACGAGGAGTGTGTGAAGTAAGACCTAATGTACGGAATTTTGCGTAATGCGATAAAAGTTTTGAGACACTTGCAACTTGATCAACTAGTTCACGCGAGGGTAAAAGAATTATTGCACGTGGTCTGTTTAATCGACGCAGAGATTTTTTTTGGGGTTGTTTTGAATTTAATTGTTCGATCATATTCATTGCATTTCTTTCGATTGAATTCTCTATGCTATTTGAATCAAGTAAACGTTCATCATGATCATTATCTTCTTTATCCTCTATCTCCCCTTTATTTTCATTCTCTTTGTCTTCTATTTCTTCTTCATTTTCTTCCTCATCTTCATTAATCTTATTGTTCAATGATTCATAATATCTCTTTTCTTCCAATTTCAATTTATTAATAATAGGAATAAGATATGCTAAAGTTTTTCCTGATCCAGTTTCAGCAGCACACAAAAAATCAATTTTGTCAGTCTTCACGATTTCCGGGATTGCCAACGCCTGAATATCTGTTGGTTTAACGTTTTGTATATTTTTCAATGGACCTTTGATTATTGCGTCGTAAACCTCATCAAGTAATTCCATACTCTCAAATGTGGCTTTGTTGACTTTTGCGATAAGCTCAGTTATATTCCGACCTTTAAGTTCTGAGAGTCCAAATTCTTGTTCGCGATCTTTACGTGTTTTTTGTTGCTGTTGCTGATTTTCGTTTTCCCGTTCTGCATTGGAACCGTATTCGTCATCTTTTCGACGCTGTCGTCGTTTTTTATTAATGATTGTTTTATTAATTACATCACTTTCTATTGGCAGAAGTTTAAATCTTGCTGGTATGAAACCACGCGTCTTTTTGGAGACTGGTGTTGGCGGTTTTCTTGTAAGGTAATTTTTTGGTGGTAATTGAATTTTGCGTAGCGAAGTTTGTTGTGATATTTCTTCTTCTGGTACTCTCCTTTTTGAATAATTCATACTTAACGGAGAATTACTAAATTCATTATCATCAGCCCTGGACGATTTATCATCATTGTTACTTCCATTTCTCTCACCAAGAAATTGACTCCTCCCTCGCTCAAAATTACTTTTCCTCCTTAACATTGTAGTGGCATTCTTATCGTTTTCATCAGCAGCACGTCTACCAACACCACCAAATCCCCATGCTTCATAAGTATCTTTACTAAGTTTCGCCACCGGAGTTTTCGATTTACCCCGAGCAACGTTACTACTGATGCGACTGATTCCTCTAAAATTACTTTTAGTTATTCCCTTTCGTTTTTCTTTCATTCCCTTCTCCTTTGATCTTTTCGGACCTCTTGCTCTATTCTGTTCAATAACTGACCGTTTACTTCTTGACGCTCTTTTTTCTCTCTGTCTTAAGCAGCAAGCGGTGGTTTGAAAGGTTCGTGTTTGGAGTTCACAAATTGGGTGTATTTTCATTGTGGGTTTTTTCAGTGAAAATTTTCTTGGTGAAATTATATAAACTCGTGAGGCTTTGTGGGAATATACACAAGTTTTTAATGAATCGTACAGTGCACTAAATCTAAAAGAAAGCATTTACAACAATGCTTAAATTTTAATGGGTAATTATATAATAAAAAAAAAACGACGCGTCCCGGAAAAAATTCAAAGCGAGTCATATTGCGTCATGTTTGATCGGTGATACACTGTAATTGTTAGGGTTAGAGTTAAGTTGTCTCGCCGACATTTTACGTTTACCAGTGCTAGCAATTTTTCATTTTGTGCCGGAAAATTCGTTACATTCTTATTGGTTGCACACCTTTCGATGATTTGTTTCGTGTAATTTCTCAAATAAATGGCATCACTAAAATAACACTGTTTAAGCATAAATTTACAATATGGCCGATTGGTTTGAGTGGGCTATTGTGAGTTTTTTTAATAAAATAACTATCCATAGTATCATACACAACTTAACAGGACGATAGAGTAATTTATGTGGTTTTCTGTATTTTATAGGATTTCGAAGGACAAAAACGAGCAGAATATCTGTATCAATCGATCATTGTAACTTTTGCGGTAAATTTTTTTTTAATTTAATCTCAGCTATGTAGATTGAAAAGATGTCTGTTAATAATAGGCGTGATGTTTTTTATGTTTAGATTTTTGGCTTCTTAATAGGGTTTCAACTGCAATCACTGCTATTAACGTTCCAAATTTTTGCGGGAGGAGTTGCATTGGCTGCGTTGGTAACTATCTCGTATTTTTTTGATGTACTTTGCGTGGTCCGATTATTTATATTTTTTATTGTTTCTAAGTTTGTATTGCCTCCTTGGCCTTTCTACAATTCACATCCTATACGATGGTTGGAAGAAAAACAAACTAACCCGGAGATTACTAACGAAAAATCGACATAGAGAAAAAAGAAGTTATCTTCTGTAAAATATATAAATTTTGTTATAATATTACGACACGGTTTGTTTTTAAACGTGTTAATATTATAAAATCAATATTAGCACTACAATTGATTTTTCTACTATTCTATGCAGCTTCTAGAATAAATTGAAGAATTACAATTTTTTAAATTAATGTTATTACAGGAACAATATCAAATTACACTCGTTCGAGTATCACAGCGATGCCTTTTGAGTGGGAATGGGAAAAGAAACGAAAGCGTGCGTGAGATTATAGTTTGCAATTAAAGAAAACTCAGTATATATGAGGTTAATTATTATTAGCGCTGACCTTGACCACCGCCTATACATGCAGATCCAAGAGCGTATTTTTTGTTTGTTCGATGAAGTTCATATGTTAAGTGAGCTAAAATACGGGAACCTGATGCTGCAAGTGGATGACCAAGCGCGATTGCTAAGGAAAGAAAAGCAATTTGAATTTAAGAGAACTTGGAAAATTCACTTAACGCAGTTTTAAATACATAGATTTTCTTTATACTCACCGCCTATTAAAAAATCCCAAAGAGCAAATACAAAATTAATTTTGAATGTCTAAAAATGGATTATTAAAGAAATTAGAAATTAACACATACCGCCATTTGTATTTGTAATACTACGATCCAATCCCAATTCTTTCTCAACGGCCAGATATTGAGCAGCAAACGCCTCATTAACTTCGATAATTTCAATAGCCGCCAAATCTAACGACGCTCTCTTTAGCACATTTCTGATCGCCGGAACCGGGCCAAATCCCATTATTGTCGGTTCAACGCCAGTAACGAAATAATTTACCACACGAGCAAGAGGGTTTAGTTTATGCTGATTGACCGCTTCTTCACTAGCTATTACCACAGCACCTGCACCATCACTAATACCGGAAGCATTACCGGCTGTGACCAGACCAGTCTCAGGCTTGAATACTGGTGGCAGTTTTGCGAGTGATGTGAGATTTGTTTGTGGTCGTGGATGTTCGTCTTTTTCGAACACTTGTACTCCTTTTCTCGTTTTTACTTCAATTGGAACCAATTCCTTATGGAATCTTCCTTCTTCATTGGCTAATTTTATATTTAATATCGTTATTTAATTTACTTTGGTTATAATATACAATATAAAAGCTTACCAGCTGCCCAACGTTGTTGACTGCTCAACGCATACTCATCACACTGTTCGCGCGTGATTCCATATTTATTCCCAAGATTCTCAGCAGTCACACCCATCGGCGTTTTTGTCGGATACTGATCAATCAACGCGACTGCCAGCGAATCCTCCAATTTCAAATCAATTCCGTAACGAGTACCCCATCGAACATTAGCAAGTGTATAAGGAGATTTGCTCATGCTTTCTGTGCCACCGGTTAACACGATATTAGCATCGCCCGATTTGATCTCTTGAATCGCGTTAATTACCGACTGAAATCCAGACCCGCAGAGACGATTGATCGTTAATGCGGGCACATGAATTGGCACACCCGCTCGATGGCCTACATGTCTCGCTAGATATGCTGCGGTATTATCTGTTTGACAGACATTACCAAATATTACAGAGTCGATAGGAAGATCTTTGGGAAGACCTGCTAGAGCTGCTTTTGCTGCTATTCCACCAAGTTCGGTAGCTAAATATTTAAATACATGAGTAGCATTTTAAGCTCAAGTTGTGAGTATAATTGAATTAAGGTCGTGATTCGGTATAATATTTGTCAATACATGCCTGTATAGTCCTTTAAAGTTCCACCAAATGTACCAAATGGTGTTCCTAGCAAAATTCAATTAAGCAGACGAAGTTATCTCAAAGCCTAAGAAGGTAATGCAGCCTCTGATAAAGAAGGAAAAAGAATTAGACTTACGTTTAGCAGCTACAATAAATACGTTTTGAGCTACTTGTTTCGCCATTGATTGAGATTTCGAGATTTTTTTGATCTTAAATCTTTTTTTTGATTTGATTTGTAATTCATGTAATTACTAATTTTATTTACACAAGTATAGACTGTTCTGGACTTCCACGTTTGCATATTCTTAATTCTGGGAGAAATGACAAAAGAAGGGCCTTAGAACTACAGTATTTTACAACTATTACTAAAAAATTTGGCAAAACGTATTTAATAAATTAGTCTAAGTCATCCAATATTTTAACTATAAAGGAATTTATTTTAAATTTATGACTATTAAAACAAATACGTTATTAAATAGCCTTTGATATTATTTTATAAAAATTTTTTTTTAATTTTCAGTGTCTTGAAATATCATCTACATTATTTTTGATTGGCCGAATTTCGTTATTTTTACATAAATTAATTTAGCATTATATATAATAACTTATTTGAAAATGATAATAAAAAATTAAGATTAGTTTCTAGATCAGTTTAAAAATATTATTCAAATATTTATATAATTAAATTACTAATGAATTTTTGTTCAAACTATTTTTGATTATACAGTATTATATAATAGAAATTTCTGAATATTTAAAATTATTATAATATATTATTATTTTAATTATAAATAATATTTTGAAATCTAGTAGATAAAATTAAATATAAAGTCATATGATATTATTTAATTTTATTAATATTCTAATAATTTTTTAAAGATTAATAAATACTATTCTAAAAGCTTATATCAAAAAATTTATTATAATATATATTAATAATATTATTATTTATTTTTAATATTTAAAAAATATTAATTTAATCTTTATAAAAATATAAAAAGCAAATTTAAAATATAATTTTAAAAAAACTTTATTATTATTTTAAAATTTATTATTAAGAATAATAAAATTTATTTAGATTTCATAAAAATTAAGTAAAAAATTTCTGATATTATATAATTTAATAATTTTATATAGTTTTATTAAATTAATATTATATTATTATTAATTTATTAAAAGTTTTATAAAAATTATAAATTTATTATATAAATTAATAAAAAAAATAA